AGACGTGGCAGCTTGGGATCGCGACTGGAAAGAACCATGCCAATGCCCTCGGACCCGACTGAGACAGGTTGTTTTGGTTGATATCTTAAGTGAGTATCATTAAATATATATAATTAATCATCAGACATCCTCACATCTGATTCTTCTTTTCAATTCATATTAAAATGCACTAGCTAGGAGGCGGACGGAAGTGGACTTTTGTGGATGTCATCCAGACCAGGTCCGACTTATTCAAATGGGTTACATAGGTGGTTCCCCAAAGTTTCCGCAGACAGCATTCTCCATCCGACTCCTTAGGTTTCATCACATAATATGGAAACATAGTGCTGTGGCCATGACTCCCTTTGCAAAAGCCATCGATGAGTTTCTGGATTCAAACAATCCCCTCATTCTGGTCAACTCTAACAGTGAAGATTCCAATAACTCATTCAGTGTATGTTAATCTCCATGAAAATTTTGTAACAACTCTGACCCCATCCATCATATCCAGGTACGACAATGGAGGCGGCCTATGTCTTCTGCGGTTGATGCATATCGAGAAATGTTAAGAAGAGAAAAGCTACTAACAGAAGAGCTGCTCAAAATGGAACTGATCGATAAATTGTCTGCAATTTGTCCGAAATGTTTTGGACCCCCGGTTCCAGGTAAAAAGGAAAATGAACCGGATTTCATAGTTTGTATGGATGGAAACTTTCAGCATCGAAGACATCTGGCTGCGAGTAGTGGGATCCCAGAGCAAAACAAAACATTCACCCTCTTCATTGATCCGGACGAAGTTCTCCAAATGGAAAGCACCATGAGAGGAAATATTCAACCAGATGAAGTCAATGACAATTTGGTCAGTTGATTCATTACTTAACATTGAATGAGTTAAATCCAATTCTAACTCATTCCAACAATTATGATAGGATCGCTGTACCGAACAACACACAGCAGCCAACGATGTCAGGGGCCCAACCACCTGGAAAGCTTGTGACGACACTGGAATTTTTGGAATGGCTTGTCGACATGACCAAGTTTTGAGGATTATAAATATTGTTCAGAGTGGAGAAAAGTCTGTCATGTATAGACAATCCAAGCTTATATGTATAAACTGACCCCAGTAAATTTTTTAGAGCTTATTTCCCAATGACCATGATTAATAATCTTATGAATACCACAAGGGCGGATGAGGAAGTCAAGAAGAGATGGGCTTTTTTGTATGATATTGGATGTAATATTGAAAAGGGAATTATCAAAGTTGAGTTGTTCATTGTTTCCGTAGTATACTGCAATGAAATCATCATCATATTTAAAACCATGGGTATCCAATTAATACAACATTCATATTTTTGATTGAAGAGAAATCTATTCAGCGAAGAAAGAGCCCAAAATCAACTAATGTTTGGCACCAGTGTGTTTCATGCACATGTCCATGAATGGTCATGTCAACTCCGATACAATCCAAGGTTAAATGACGGGTGGGGAATGTCGGATGGAGAGGGCTTGGAGCGAATTTGGTCATATTTATCCCCCCTTATTGGTCCACTTAGGTACTCAACCAAAAATCATCGCCTGGTTGCATTGGATTTGAGGTCTTGCCATCACAATGAAGTTGGTAAAACTCATGCTTGTGAGTCCTTCTGATGCGTACATTTTTCCATTTTAGGGGTGATGAATAGCTGATATTTTTGTCTTCAGTAAAGCTATTGCTAGATCGAGGCAAAGACATAGAGAAACAGATGGAAGAAGCAATTTTAACCCTGAACCAAATATTCCATAACTGGGGGCACACAACTGAATACTTGCAATCACAATGGATCAGACAGAGAGAATGTCAGCTTGCTTTGATTGAAAACGAGCCAGCAAAGGAGTTGGAGAAACAGATTGAGGAGCTGGTTGAGATGGAGGACCAACTCCGTGAGGCACAGTAAGATTTTAAACATTCTCTAACATGATCAAATCATTGTTTGGCTAATAAGCAATCCAATTTGGCAGTGAAAACCTGATTCAGCTCCGGCGAAAAAGGAGGCAAACCCGTACAGCAGCTGATATCAGAGCTATGGAAGAACTTCCTGATACTCTTGTTTTCTTGGAAGAAGAAATTGATAGCATTGTACAAGAGCTTGGATCTGATGCTTTTCGCAATCTACCTGGGGCCTCAGGTCTGAAACTTTACAGAATTATATCATACATCATAAAAACTGGACTGACTATATATCTCCTCTCTATCTAGATATGGAAACAAAGCTTTTGATCAAGAGCAAGGTCAGCAAATCCAAGCTGTATGAGGCCAAGGTTGGAGTGGTTGAGTTGCAAAGAAAATGGGACCAAAGGGGATCAGGTCAGTTTCAGTTAAATACTTTGTCCTTGGAATTTTACAGGAAATATTTTGCCATTGATCCAATGCCCTGAGTTCAACTATCTAACTATTGAGATATGCTAACACAGTCCATCATAAATCTGATTATTATTAATATTTAGGGACTCGTTTGCAAGCAAGATTCAAAAAGACAATGACGGCAAAGATGAAGCTTCTCAAAAACAAGTGGATCTCCTATGATAAAAAGGCCACCGACTATAACGATTCTTATGCCAACAATGTTCAAATGGCCACCCCAGATTTTGAAGAGGTCAAGTCGATGACACTGAATGATCATTTCTGGAATAGTGGCTCAATAACTCATCCAGAGGAGCCTTGGGCAACAGACTCCAATGTGCAGAAGGGGATTGAGGCATATCGTTTAGTGAGCCATTGTCAAGATGAGCTGCGTCGAATTTCGAGGGAGGCTAGACAAGCTGTCAAATGGGCGGTGAAAACTGGCTTGGATTTGGATACTATGATGAAACTTTTGAGAGATGGTTAGTACTCTTTTGGATTTTACTGAGTATCAAAAGCTCAAAAGAATCTACTTTTAAATGTATTTCTAGATTTATCTCAAGAAAACGTGGAATATAGGGAAGGCCACGAATTCTTATTCAACCTCTGTGGAAAATATAACATACCCAGATCAGTTATCGAATCCATTTTTGGAAATATTGCAAGGAGGCACTGTCGGACTTGGATGGCTTGGAATTCTCATTGCACTGAGCTTATCAATTGGAGTAGGAAGTATTTTGAATCTGAAGAGATCAATCCGCACAATATTCTCCAGGAATGGTCTTCCTTGATTGACAGTTGTCAATCAATATGGGAAAAGCTGGTTACTGGTGAATCAATATTTACAGAATTTGAAAATCAAGAAGAACTGCATGAGGAGGGACTGTTGGAACAAGAAGAGTTGCAATTCTTGGATGCTCAGCAAGATGACCTTATTGATCTTACCATGAATAATAATGATTAAAAATCTGTTACAAATGATAGAACACTGGAGTTTTTTAATTTTTATACATGATTCTTATAACAACAATCACAATGATATAATAAAAGAAATAAGTGATGAGAAATAAAGAAAAAATACTTGACAGAATAATTGATCTGTTAAATGGGGCTTGGATGTAGAACTTGAGCCCAACAAGCCAACTATTCAGCTCTAAAGATAAAACCAGGCTCATGCTTTGGAATTTTTTTATTTTGTTTATTTATCATGGTTATCAAACTGATTTGTAACTTTCCAGTTTGGTTTTGAAAGCTTGATCAAAACCCTTCCCAGTCAAGATTGAAGCCTTTCCACTGTGGGTTGAAGTTTGATATGTATGATAAATTGAGTTGATAGTATAATTTTGATACTAAATTTATATAATGATTAGGTTATGTTAAAGGTTTTATATTGACAAGACGATAATCAGTAAGATCTGCCAGCAGCACATTAATCAGAAAAAAAATATTACTAATAATCTTCATCAACTGTCTGATTTATTGAGATAGAAATAGAAATAAAAATGAATTAATGTTGCTACTGACATCATAGAAGTGCTTGTATCTGAAAATGTATCAATTTTTTGTAATTTTTTCTCCTGGTTTGACCATCCAAGATTGTAATCTGTCTTTAGAGCCGAGTGAGTTGGAGTCTGGTGATCTGTGTACATGTACAGGCTGAGCTGAGTTGAGCTGAGTGAGTCCAGTGAGCTGAGTACATGTACAGGGTGAGCTGAGTTGAGCTGAGTGAGTCCGGTGAGCTGAGTACATGTGCAGGGTGAGCTGAGTTGAGCTGAGTGAGTCCGGTGAGCTGAGTACATGTACAGGGTGAGCTGGGTAGAGATGAGTGAGACCGGTGAGCTGTGTACATGTACAGGGTGAGCTGAGTTGAGCTGAGTGAGTCCGATGAGCTGAGTGCCTTTACAGGGTGAGCTGAGTTGAGCTGAGTGATTCCGGTGAGCTGAGTACATGTACAGGGTGAGCTGAGTTGAGTTGAGTGAGTCCGGTGAGCTGAGTACATGTACAGGGTGAGCTGAGTGAGTCCAATGAGCTGAGTACATGTACAGGGTGAGCTGAGTTGAGCTGAGTGAGTCCGATGAGCTGAGTGCCTTTACAGGGTGAGCTGATTTGAGCTGAGTGAGTACGGTGAGCTGAGTACATGTACAGGGTGAGCTGGGTAGAGCTGAGTGAGTCCGATGAGCTGAGTATATGTACAGGTGAGCTGAGTTGAGCTGAGTGAGTCCGATGAGCTGAGTGCCTTTACAGGGTGAGCTGAGTTGAGCTGAGTGAGTCCGATGAGCTGAGTACATGTACAGGGTGAGCTGAGTTGAGCTGAGTGAGTCCAATGAGCTGAGTACATGTGCAGGGTGAGCTGAGTTGAGCTGAGTGAGACCGGTGAGCTGAGCACTTGTACAGGGTGAGCTGAGTTGAGCTGAGTGAGTCCGATGAGCTGAGTACATGTACAGGGTGAGCTGAGTTGAGCTGAGTGAGTCCGATGAGCTGAGTACATGTACAGGGTGAGCTGGGTAGAGTTGAGTGAGTCCGGTGAGCTGAGTACATGTGCAGGGTGAGCTGAGTGAGTCCGGTGAGCTGAGTACATGTGCAGGGTGAGCTGGGTAGAGCTGAGTACATGTACAGGGTGAGCTGAGTTGAGCTGAGTGAGTCCGAGTCTGGTGAGCTGTGTACATATACTGGGTGAGCTGAGTTGAGATGAGTTGAGCTGAGTGAGTCGGAGTCTGATGAGCTCAGAGTGTTTACTGTAGAGCTGAGTTAGACCGGTCTCACTCAAAGTGTTTACTGGAGTAGTGAGGGACTCAGGGGTGCTTCATAGAGGTGAATGGATGACTTATGAGTTATTTAGGAATGGTGGTGGAGTTCATCTCACCCCATCTCACCCAGCTCCAGCATGAATACGGTCCCAAACCGAGGATGATGACACATTTATCATCGGTTTAAAACCGAGGTTTTCAGGTGACACAGGTGCCTTACTCTGTGGCCGAAGATTTGGATTTAGAAATAGTACAGGTAGACATACCCATGAAAGGCGTAGGCGGAGCAAGATGCGACCTGAATGGAGTAGCCGAAAACTGCCCCGTTGGGATTGGATGATTCTCAGGGCCAGCTCATCTGTTTGTTTCACCTAAAGCACAAGATTGCATCCTTGGACGCCCGTTCCTGTTTGACTACGGATGCACACTAGAATATCACGAGACTGGCGAAACACTTTCTTTCCAAGGAACCAAGGGGAGGAGGGTTTCTGTGCCTTTAGCTAAAGTTGGGCAGGGGAAAGGGTGGAATAATCGCAAAGACCTCAGTAGCCACAGTTTCAGATCCACATCCGATCCGGGAACGGAAGAACAACGCATGTTCAAGAAGAAACCCACTCAGCCCTTTTTCTGAGTTCCGGTGTTCACCTAGGGAATAACTCGTTAACGCTAGTCGAGCAAGTTACGTCTCAAACACCGGCTTACCAGGACTGGCTTTTTGTAAATTTTATACGTCGATTACCAAAACTAACAAAAAAATGTCTCTGTAAGTTAATTTCACTATTCAAAAATATCCGATTTATGTTGTTTTTTCTTTCAAAAATTTGTAAAACAGTTCGAAAACGATGGAACACCAGACAGTCAATTGGGGCGAAAAATGAAGTAACAATCACCTCGAATGCACTCAAAATTGCTGAGGAACCAAGGAAAGAGGAAGTGAGGACATTACTCACAAATGGATTAGGCATAAGTTTTCAACAGAAATTGTGCCAGAGCTGGAAGGAGGGAAGCCTGTGGTGTATGACTAAATACAAACCTGTGGCTAAGAAGATCCGACCTATAAATCAACCCATCCCTCAAGCTCTCAATCCGCCTCTGAAAAGACCACCACTCTCTAGGGATCCGTATATAACCCCACTCACGCCTAACCCGCCAGATTTCCAACCAACAGCAAAAATCACCGAAGAACGCCTGAAGGTAGTCAACTTTGGACCGGAAGGATGGCTCTCAAACGAGGAACTAAAGCTATTCAAACATCTGATTGTTTTACGGGAAAAGGCCTTAGCCTTTTGCATGGAAGAGCGTGGACTATTAAAACACTCGTATGGACTACCCTATGTCATACCAGTAGTGGATCACATACCTTGGCAGAAGAAACCTATTCCTATTCCAGCAGCAATAAAAAACGAGTATGTGGAACTAGTTTGAGAACAAATTAGGACGGGTCTTTACGAACAATCAACATCAAGTTACTCAAGCCCAGTATTCTGCGTAGCAAAACACGATGGAAAGCTACAAATTGTTCATGACTTACAGGAAATGAATAAAGTTACCATTAAGGACGCAGGCCTTCCTCCGGCAACTGAGGAATTTGTAGAGGCTTTTGCAGGACACGCTTGCTACGGATTGGGTGATATCATGGGAGGATATGACAAACGAGAGTTAGCGCAAGAATCTCAACCACTGACAACTTTTGATACCCCTCTTGGAAGATTTCAACTCACACGTTTACCTCAGGGGGCCACTAATTCAGTAGCAGTATA